CAGCACGCATGCATTGTGCCCGTGCGCTGTTTTTCCGGGAAGGCAAATCGCAGTCCATACTACTGATGGACGACGGATGCTGCCGACAGGCCAACAATGATCAGGAAGACGAGTTCCTGTAAGTTCAAATTCATCTCAACTGACGTGCCGAGGAAGCAGCACTAGTAAGTGACCTTATTCCTCTTGACACCCGATATGGATTAGGGGTGTAGGTGAAGCTGACAGCGCGCGTCCCATAGCTAACAGACAGCCAAGCTGGAGTGGTTAGTGGAGGGTGAGTGAGGGACGGCGAAACGTGAGTTTGTCTACACACGTTTCGTAACTGACTTGCCAGTGCACCTTCATCTCACTCCTCTTATTCCTCTGATGGGTGCACGTGCAGTAAGCTAAGTCCTCAGGGCATATAGCTAAACCACAGCTGCGCCACGTCAGCGAGGAGCCTGCCGATTACGGAGGAGAGGGTGAGTTGCGGTCGTCTTGCGCCAAATTGCCTGTGACTTTCAGCGCGGACATGTGGTAAGCTTTGAGCAGTGGTAGTCTAGCTGATCCACAGTCGCTGGAAGAGATCAGCCAAGTTAGTTCCATTCACGCTCTATGCATACGCCATGCTCCTATAACGGTGGACGGAGTCGATCACGCCTGACAAGCCAGGGCAGGAGCAATCACTTAGCTCCTCAGGACTGTGTTCACAATGTCGTCGGTCGTCCTGAGAATCCACATGCACCCCTCATCGCTCTGAAGCCACTTGCAGCCCTTCACCGTCCCGTCGTCCTTCGCCGCTTTGAGCCCGTACACATGGCTCGTGACCTGAAGTCCGACACCCGTAACAGCTCTCAGCGCCGCGATGGCAATGACGCTGGTCAGAACGCGCCCGAGACGGAACTGTCCCGGCTCTGCTGGCGGGTCGGTGAGCAGCGGGCCATAGTGCGACGCGAGGATGTACTCGGCAAGGTCGGGGTGGAAGGCAGACAGCTTCTCGATCAGCGTGTCGGCGTGCACGCCGTAGATGTCCTTCCACAGTTCCAGACCTTCCGCCTTTGACAGCCCGGTGCGCGCTGCATCGGACTCGAGGCCGTCCCGGACAGCGTACGAGAGATGGCTATACAGAGCGCCGAGGTTGTTGATAGACTGTGGGTCAGCTGGTCCGTCCCTACGTTAGCTGATGCAGCAGAGCCCGCAGCACTCACTCTCGGCACGCCTCCGAAAGAGATACACTTCAAGCCGACTTCTCGGATCGCCTACCGTCAGCGCACCGCACGGATACGTGGGACTCACGGAAGCAACATACACCTGGTCCTTCACTGTTTCTCCCTTCGCAAAGTCGTACAGGAGGCACAGCGTCTCGCTCGAGTTGATCGTGAGCAGCACAGCAGCCGCGAGGCAGAGCCAAGTCTCCCTGCCAATGTGCGGGTTCGAGCTCAGCCTTCCAAACAGAGCCTGCGTGACCTCGGGCGACGGCGCGGGGACGTCGCCACCCTTTGCGGCCGGGTCGGCTATCAGCGCCTTGAGTTCCGGGCTAAGCTTCGACATGTATGTTTCTGTGAGGGAAGTGGGTCGTGTGGATGAGCAGTTGTCGTGAGTGTCGTGAATCAGGTGAGTGTTGTGAGTTATATGTCGGTTGCATCGTGAAAGTTGAAGACTGGGGAGATGACGTTTGCAGCGGAGGATTAACTTAGCCGATCGTTATCAGCTCCCCACATATCGAGCGTGCCTGGAAGATCAGCAGCCGAGACGGAATGTTGACGCCTTGCTCATCGCTGATGCACAACCTTCACGCTCACAGCAGCGAGGTTTGGACGTGGAGGATGCAGCGAACGTTGACGTGCGAGATGCATAAGCATCCCCAAGCGAAGTTGCAGAGTGGAGGTTGGCGGGATCTCCAAGCGATACACCCCAGTGGCGTGTGTTCGACCAACCGCGTATCGCACTGATAGCCGATGATCAGCAGCTGGGGTTACCACTGTCCTCCACACTCCAGTTTTGGGTGGTCTTGGACACTTTAGCACTTAGGGGCAATGCTGAAGTTTGGCTGGGGAGCTAGGGATGACATGTGTTGTGCACATGCACGATAGTGGTTCACAACGTTTTGACGCTCTCGGCGCTTGCGAACACGTACGCTCGCACCATGTCTCAACTGGCGTACCGACTATCTCCGGGCAGCTCACTGTCTTGGTCGGAAGGGCTAGAAACGGAGAGGTCGATGTTGGGTGTTTGACAGAAGGAAGCACGGTCCTCAAAGCGTGTGATCGCCCGTCAAGCTACTGCACATGCAGCAGGCGGGAAGCAGTCACACTGCAGAATAACCCCACGAGCAAGCTCGTCCACGACCTCTGCAGATCTAACGTAGTGAGGAATACCAGTGTGTGAATCATGACTGCCATTACGCTTTGTCCATGCCAATAGCCACAACACTCCATCGAGCTCCTGTCGTCCCAATGCTGACGGTCTTTGTGGCCCAGCTCAGCCATCCACTCGTGTTCGGGTACACGAGGCTCATCGGGCCCGAAACTTCGGTGCAACCGCTAACTGGACGGACTAGCTTTCGGGGCGGCAAGACGTCCGGAAGCGGCGTTCATCCACCAGTGCAGATCACTCGCGCGACCAATCTCGTGCGCCGAACGCACTACCGTTTTGTCCAGAACTCGTGAATGAGGCGTTCCAGTCTCTAGTCCGCCGCGTGCCGGGACGCCACCCGCTGCGCCAGTCAGCGAAGATGACTGGACGAGGGACCGTAGGTTCAGCGAAAGTCAGCCCACGTAGGCTTACTCGGTCAGTCGGTCCTGCGTCTGCTCGCCTGCTCGGTGTCGTGGTTCGGCGCCGCGGCAAACGGTGAATGGGCGGAATCGTTCCTGCAGGTAAGCTTTGAGGAGCCTCGTAGCCTCGTATCTGATAATTATTGGCATGCCGAAGTCTCAACAGGCGATGGCGTGTCTCCAGCAAGCAAGGTTATTACTCATGCAGATGGGCATGGTGGAGTGGAGCTTGAGCTTGTGAGAGTTTCCAGCACAGCTTTTGGAATCGATTCCAGTCCTCACATCGGCCCCTCGGTGTCAGCCTAGGGGATGCTTGTTTATCCAGCGTGTTTAACCTCTCCCGTATTGCAGAACCATCCGCAAGCTCGAGTTCTGTGTAGCTCAGCGAAGTCGTTAAGCTGCTGACCTAACGGCAGAGTCCTCGTCGTACTCTCACTGGTCAGTAGGTTCAAGGTCGCGCCGAGGTGTGCCCGTGCGCTGTTTTTCCGGGAAGGCAAATCGCAGTCCATACTACTGATGGACGACGGATGCTGCGCAGAATTACGCCGTGTCTCTGCGCTCCGTCTCCGGTGGGCAGCGCGGCGCCGCCGAGAGCACACACCCCCCCATATGGCGGACCGGACTGGAAGACCTGGAAGTACGGGAAGTACAGAGGACTGGGGTGAAGGGCGAGCGTGAGAGGTCGTTAAATGCCTCAGATTTCTAAGGGATGGCTGTGTGTCATATCGTGGCGCTACAGTTTCCCTCCAGGGCGAGGTTTGTGTCCGCCAGGAGGTTTGGAGGGTGTACAGAAGCGAGCGTCGCGAGCGACGACCAGTCTTGTGACCTCCTGCCTGGGAGTGAGGGGGGAGGCGAACGTCAGTATGACTTGGCAGGAAAAGGGGGTCGACGGACGCGTTCCTGCTCAGGGTTTCCACCCCAGCACTCACTACGAGTTCATCCACTTCTTCCATCTTGAATACCCAGCACAGGAGCGAGAGAAGCATCCGGCGTCCAAACGCCTCATACACGGAGCTGGCCGAGTACATCAAGCAGCACGTAAACTTGGCATCGAAACTTGGCGCTGGGTTCCGACAAACTTAGAATGGCGCAGGCGAGGAAGTAAGAAAGAACGGGTAAACACGCCCAGGGGGCCAGGGATGACCCGCTGGAAACGACACTGGAACCGAGCCGTCCCCGCAAAGGACGCAGAGGGATGAGGAACGGCAGCCATCGTCGTGTCGTGTTCTACCGAGCAGCACGCGAGGTTGCATGCGAGACGGCTGGCTCACTTGCCAGCTTATCAGATACTACGTGACAGTGCCTTCGTACCGGGTGTCACGCCGCGTCGGTCGCGTCGTGTTTACTGGCCAGCCTTCCTGACCCAGACACCCATTCACTGTGTGAGATCTCGGCGCTGTCCGAGTCTCAGAAGCTGGAGATGGCTATAGATAGTAGTGGTGGTGATGCTGACACGTTCGTGAGTCATCTCGGGGTCTGGAGGTCGCTTGAGGTGAAGAAACGCCAGGCAGAGCCTTCTGCGCCGCCCGGAATGAAGAAAATAGAGGCGCAACCTTGAGCTCGTGCATCCGAAAGTATGAGGAGCATCCGAGGCTCAGGCAGATCCCCAACACCACTCTCCCGTTCGCCAGAGGAAGGATCAGGGAGCTGATCGATGTCTCGTGGCGTTTTCTCAGGGCTTTACCATATTCCTGAAGGGTTCCGGAAGGCACCGAAGTTTGGTTGGGGAGAGGTGTTGGGAGGAGTCCTGCAGATCGGCCGAATGCCGCCCTAACGAGTGCATCCTGCCATTCGTTCTGGGTCTGGTACTGGCTAGCGCGCCCGGCGCTACTTTCCCCTTTGTCCCCTTTCTGAATGGTTTAATGAGCGGGGGGACGGATTAATGCACCGCAGCCCCTGGCGAGCAAGCGGTCGACTGGTGCGAGCCCGCCGACACGGGGCAGGGAAGCTCCGCCGCGCGCTGTCGGATCGATTACCGCTACCTTGGGCTGGCTGGGAGGCGTGAAGGCGTCGAGGCGCGTCTCTGGCGCATGCACACCGGTGCTCGAGCGCGAGCGCGAGCACGGCGAATGCAACGTCGGCGGCGCAACATGCGCAACACGCGATGGTGGCGTGGTGAGTTGTGTGCATTCCTCGTCTCGCGCCGTCCCGGCGCATTGAGGGCTGCCATTCCTTGCACTCCCAAGGGTTCGAGTGCCGGGGTAGAGGAAGACAGCCGCGAAGCATGGCAGACGTCCCGAACAGCACCCGTGTTCCGGGGCCGGACGACGCGACGCAGAAACGGCAGACGCGAGACGCGTGCGGGCCGGATGGAGGCATCTGACGGGGTACGGCAGGTCTTTTCGATCCCGGGGTGTTTGAGAGTGGACCTGGCTGCTTCTGCCCGCCTGGGCACCCGTCTGGGCCAGACAAAGCGAGGTAGCCAGATCGGTACAGCTAACGTACCTAACGTATCACGTTGCGCGCTACGCTGCATTAAGCTGCATCAGGCCGTAACAGCCGCGTAGCGTTGCTGCCGTTCCCGAAAAAAGCATCGCACGGCCCTCCCTGCTGTGAAAAGAAGCGAGCTCGATGCGTAAATGTGTACCTGTTGCCCCGCGCGAGTGCTTTTCGGCCGCATTGAAGCACCGAGACGTTCCTGGCTGGTATGCTGTACGATGCGCCGAGAGGAAAGCCGAAATGTTTGCCGTGTGAATCACCCCGTTCGGCGGTCATCACATGAGCCCCCGCCCACCTCGTCTTGCCAGCCCCGCCTTCCTGGGAGCTCCAGGAAGCAGAGGCGGAGGGCCGAGCTGCTCCTCCACACTCGTACGCAAATAGAACAGCGCTACGCGCCATGTCGCGCCTGTCACGGATCATGCGGAACGCATCTGTGCGACTTTCTGAATGGCTGGTGAGAGCGTGTGTGAGTCGGATCTTCCACGGGCCACACGCCGAAAAACCCAGAATATTGGAGCCGCACGGACAACGCATAGCGGCTGTCTCATCCCAGGCCGTCACAGACGGCGAGCAAGCCACCAATCTCGAGGTCTGGACGGGCGCCCGAGTGCTTGGTGCGTACCTGCGCCATCGATCTGGGGCAGCCTGGGTTGTCTCCCCGTCTAAGGCTGCCATTCATGTTGAGTAAGGCGCAGTGGTCTGGTGACTACTACTGGGATCGGATCTGAGTGTGGGCAGCAGTGTGTCGAGACAGCAGACGAAGTCGTGGTGTGTTTGTGTACGTACCTTTGCGCTGTGGTACCTGCATCACGTACCTCGAAATGCATAAGCTCAGCACAAGCTCAGAGCGAGCGACGCGAAGCAGGCGAAAGTTGGCAGCTGGGGTTGACGACGCTTGGATCACGCCCGTCTCGCGCGGGTGATTCGTCATCTTGACCCCTTGACCCGTTCGTCCTCGGCTCTGCTAGCTCTAATGGCGATCAAGACTGCTTTAGGTCTGGGAGCAGTCTAGCGCAAAACCTCGCCCGATTGACCCGATTACCTTCGCATTACCTGGAGCAGTCCGCAGTGCAGGAAGCGAGCCAAAGCAGACCATACAAGGCGAAAAGCAGGCCGCAAGCGCGTGTTCGGCCCTCATGCCCCTGCGTTAACTCTAATTGATTCCATTGGGTGCCGCAATAACGCTTCATGCAGAGCTCCATCCGACGGCCGGGAGGTGGGCTGTCATCAGACTCAGACAATCCGCACTCGCGACGGCCATTCCCACTCTTGTTTCTGTGCCTCACACCACAAGACAACGTGCACATGACAAACAAGCTGCTTGGCGCCGACAATGGGGTCTCGGCGAGACTTACGCCAGCACGCATGCATGCATACGAGCCCTCCAAGCCTGCAAAGCGTGTGGGCAACTCTCTGCTGGGTTTTCGGAGCTCACACACTTGAAACGCCCGGAACCCGGTGCGATTGAGGACTGGTATTCATTCATCGGCTCCGATCTACCGCGCCACCAGCGTGCCTCGCAATCACCTCTGCATCTTCTGCTTGCTGTCGGCGTGATCAGGCGGCAGTGAAAGCAGGCATCGGCGCAGAGGAGAGCGACGAGACTGGCTGATGCCGCTTGATGCATGCTCAGGGCAGCCACTGCTGAACCGTCCCTGGGGCTGTCATGCCCTACGTACCATCGACTGTGCCTTTGTTTCTGCCCTACGTAAGTATCGCTCCCTGGCCTCGAGGGTTGTTCCCTGGCCTCTGGCGTTGCTCCTCCGCCAGTGCCTCCCACCGCGCCAAGGGTCATCATCTCTTCGACCTAAAAGCCAAGACTCTCCGCCTGCGTTTTAAATCCCAAGGTCTGTCGGCTCTCAGCACGCGTTTCTCCTACTCCCTCCATCAGTCTCTCCTTCTACTCGACTGTCTCTTCAGTGTTCGGTATATCTTGCTGCTCTGCTCCAACCCAAAAGCAAACCGACTGCTACCCTCCCTCTTGCGCCATGCTCCTCCTCTCCTCCTTCCTCGGAGGCGCCATGCTCGCTGCCTCTGCCAACGCTGCCGACATTGTCAAGGTCGACACCTGGGGAACTCCCCAGGTCCTTGTCTACTCGTACACCGAGGGCTTCCGTCACGACTCGATCCCGACCGCCATCGAGACGTTCAAGAAGCGTGGAAAGGACTGGGGTGTCAACTTCACCTTCACCGAGGACCCGAACTACTTCACAGTCGACAACCTGATGCAGTACGACTCGATGCTCTTCCTCCAGACGTCCGAGGAGGTTCTCAACTGGGACCAGCAGGGCGCCCTTCAGCGTTACTGGCAGTCGGGCGGTAACTGGGTCGGTGTCCACTGCGCGTCCTCGTGTCTGCGTAACTCTGACTCCTTCTACCAGACTGTTGGTGGTGAGTACGCTAACCCAGCTAGCGGCCCTGGCGATCCCACATTCCGCTGACATCAGCCCGCTTCGACTACCACCCCGAGTTCCAGCAGGCGACTTTCATGCCGCTCGTCAAGAACCACCCGTCGAACCGCAACATTCCCGACCGATGGACGTACAAAGAGGAGGTCTACTTCTTCGTGTCGGACCCGCGCGACCAAAACGCCACGGTCACGATGACGGTCGACGCGGCCTCGTTCAAGAACGAGGGCGGCAACCAGCCCCCGCAGGGCTCTCCCCACCCGATTGCGTGGTACATTGAGAACTTCAACGGTTCCAAGCCCCTCATCAACGGTGCCGAGAAGTCTGGCCGTTCGTTCTACACTGCCCTCGGCCACTCGAACGAGAGTGAGTAACCACCATCTGATAGTGTCGATCAGGAACTGCCGCTGACATCTAACAGCCTGGAACGACGAGCTGTTCATCGGACACATGATGGGCGGCCTGGTCTGGGCCCTCGACGGCGCCAGCACCAAGGCGTACGGACAGGGTGTCGTCGGCCAGCAGCGCCCGGCGACTCCTCCCCCGCCGCCCCCCAAGCCGACCAACGTCACCAACGACTCGGTCAACGCCCAGAAGGACGGCTCGAACGCTACGTCCTCTGCCGCCGGTGCCTCGGCCAAGCCCTCGAGCGGCTCGACTCGCACTGCTGCCGGTCTCCTGCTCGGCGTGCTCGGCGCCGCTGCTGCTCTGCTCTAAACATAACCAAACGGACACTACAAGCTATCCCATTCTATACGGTGTACCATAGCCCTGTAACCAAGTAGATCACTAATGCCCCCTCCCCTATGCCCCCCGTATCCCCACCCCTACATCCATACCCACTACTACCCAGCACTTCAGCCAGCATCGGGCATCAAGGACAATGTGACTTCGCAATGTATGCATGTCTACATCACTACCTCAGAGGATCTCAACCTTGGCAAACTGGCACACCTCGGCCGCGCTCACGGCGTACATCTCATCAATGAGAGCGGCGCGGAACGTGCCCGGTCCCTTGACGTCTGGGCGCTTGGCCGCCTGCTCAGCCGCAACATTGAACGTGAGCACGCCAGCCAGCGCGCCAATGAGCATGTTCCCCTGCGTGAGCTGGCTCTCGCTCTCCCACCCCTGCTCGCTGAATCCCTCCTCGTCGGCGCCCATGTCGCCCACGCGCTGGAGGAACCACGTACGCGCCGCAGCAAGGAAGCACGCCACAATGCTCCCCGTCATACACCCGCTGCCCGTGATGAGGCCGAGGAGCGGGTGGCCGTTCGTGCAGCGCAGGACCGTGGTGCCATTCGAGATGTAGTCCTCGGCACCGGTCATGACGACGATGCAGCGGCGCTCCTTTGCCAGTTTGCGCACGAGGGCAGCGGGGTCAGAGAGCCGGCCCACGCTGTCGACGCCACGGGCAGACACTTCGGTCGAGTTGGCCAGAGCGCCGATCTCGGCCGCGTTGCCCTTGATCACGGTGGGCTGGAAGGCGTGCAGGAGTTCTGGTCGTCAGCTCTTTGTTTGAAGCGGTGCGAAGCTAGGTGGTCTAAGTGGGGACTCACGCTGTCCCGTCTCCCTGCGGAACGCCGTCGCGCCCACAGCAACCGGGTCCCACACGACAGGCTTGCCATTCACATTCGCCGCCTGCCCCGCAGCCAGCATGCCCTTGAACGTCTCGTCGGTAATGGTCCCCGAGTTGATAAGCAGAGAGCCGATGTTCTTGCTGAGGTCGACGCAGTCGCGCTCGTTCGTGGCCATGATGGGGCTCGCGCCGACTGCGAGCGTGACATTCGCGCTGTCGTTGACGACGACACTGTTCGTAATCTGGTGCACGAGCGGGGTCGTCTTGCGCACCGTGTGGATGAGCTCGCCCACCGTCTCGAGCATGGAGCCCAGAATGTCGCCGCCAGAGGGCGCAAAGGCCGAGAACGGCGGCATGTCGTAGCTGTTTGCGCGCTTGAAGCTGGCCACTTGGTCGGAGAGCTGGCGAGCGGCCGCCTCGGGGTCGGACGAGGAGACGATCGCACTGATGACGGCGACGCCGTCGAGACTGTTGTTCTTCAGAGGCGAGACGGAGCCGTGCAGGAGGAAAGGCGTGTTGCGGGCGTTGATGCCGCCTGGATGTTAGCGAGGACACAAAGGAAGGCTTACCAATAGCGACGCTACCGAGACCACTGTCGGCAATGACGTCGAGGATCTCGCCCGCCCCACTGGGTCCAAGCATGACCTTCTTGCTGACGTCCTTGCTCGCTGTGCTCCAGACGGCGCCAACGCCGACATAATCGAGCACTCCTTCGGGCAGCTGGATCGCCTTCTCCGCCTCCGCCACCGTGCTCACCGACAGACCGAGGATGGCATCCTCGCCGATCAGTTTCCGCGCCGTCACCGGGTCCATGTCGTCCTGCCCGATGTGGATGCCGGCCACGCCCGCGGCAAGCGCGACGTCCACCCGGTCATTCACGAGCACAGGGACGCCGTACCGATCACAGAGGGCTTTTGTTTTGCGCGTGATGTCGACGAATTCGCCCGTCTCGGTCGTCTTCTCACGCACCTGCACAACGGTGACGCCGCCCTTGAGGGACTAGGAGTCAGCACTCGTCTCGCTGTGTGGTTCCCCTGCCGAGGAAGGCAGCGGACCAACTTACCTCCTCGAGGCTCTCGTAATAGTCCTGTCGTCAGCGAACGTCAACAAAGCCCGCAGCTTACCTTGCCAGGCGGCAGGAGCTCGCGCCCCGTGACGAGGTACACAGAGTAGTCGATCTGTGGTCGCGGCATGGTTCTTGCTTGCTCCACTGTCGTGTGGTGAAGAGTGCAGATGCAGACGAGGGATGAACGTTCGTCTGGATATCTGGACCTAATATCACGGAATGCACTCGGATCTCGGATCCAGGCCCCCGATCGCACCCCACACCGATAAAACCGTGATGTAACCAGGCCTCCACCTGAGTGGCTGTCGTGATCTGCTAAATGCGGGTCAATGCTTTCGAGTCGATTCCCACCGCACTTTGGTTGCGGATCCGGGGACCCGATAGCTTGCGATTGCGTCTCCCTCGGGGACTCGGGACGCTCGGCACCCGAGATACTGGCTCAAAGAAACACGCATACATGCAAAAAGAAGTCGGGTATCTCTTGTCTACTCTACTACAGTGCTGCGGACGTGCGGACACCCTGCTCCGCTCAACTCCGACATCATCGGGCTATCAACTCTTGCCCAGTCTAACACAAGACTAACGCTTCGCCTCGCAGATCGTGCACTGCTCCGTCGCACTCGCGGGGTTCTGCAGCATGCACGTGCTGCACGTCCACGTGCCCTCGCCCTTGGGCTTCTCGAAGCTGGGCTGGGTCGCCTTGGCGCCAAAGCTGAACCCTCCGGCCGGGGGAGTCGGCAGACCGGTGGGGTGAAGCCGCCGCTGCCGCTCGACGTCGAGGGAGCGGAGACAGGCTTACCGCCGAAGCTGAAACCGCCGGAGGGCGGCGCGGGCGGACCACCAGAGCTGGCACCAAAGCTGAAACCGCCTGCAGGAGGAGCGGGCGGTCCAGACGGAGCAGCGGCCTTGGCACCCGGCTTCGGTGCCTCGCAAATGGTGCACTTCTCAGTCGCGCTCGCGGGGTTCTTCAGCATGCAAGTGTCACACGTCCAGCTGTCGCCGCCGGCCGGGGCAGCGCTCGGAGCAGCCGGCTTGGCGCCAAAGCTAAACCCGCCG